AGGACGGTATAGAGTCCCATCCTGTGGCTTAATCATATGGGTGTCTTCACCCTAGTGGACCATTCACATTTGTCTGCACAAGGAAGTAGGATTATTATTCCGATCAATGATCGCGTCAATCAGTTACGCACAGCATGGACAAGCCAGTTCTGACCTATCCCGCTAACACAACCTGTCAAACACAGTATTATGGGCAAGGGTAGTTTGCATTACAACACCCCAGTGACACGTAAGGCCCTTGGAAGCGATGCTAGCAGCCACCAGATTCAATTAAATCGTTCACCCAGTGACCCAATTTTATATTCTGTAAGCTTTCAATAGACCACCAAGATCATTGCAAACCGTATACAATTGCGTTGGTGAACTTTTAACAGCATATAACTTTCAGCTCTGGATATTATTATAGTCCAGGCTATATTAAGGGTAGGCTCTGTAGGTAGTAAGCAAGGTAGCCTAGTATCAATGATAATGCGCTTTATTGTAAACCTTAACTTACGAAATTAACACAGGATTCTAGTTCACATTGATTCATGACAACCACTAACTGGATAGGTTCATGTATCCGGGCAAATGCGTAAGTACTGATAAAGACGGTAGATGAAATTAACATTTACTTGATAAAACCTACAGGTGTTGTGTCAGCATAGACTTATTATATATATATATATATATATATATATATATATATATATATATATATATATATATATAATGCTACAGTGTCAGTAGACCTATTTCACACATATTACCGTTTAATCCTACACCAAAAATATGGTCACGATATGTAGATGACACATTTACTGTGTTAAAATCGGAACATATCGACAATTTCCTCACACATATAAACTCAGTAGTCGGCACAATCAAGTTCATTTATGAGGTAGAAAAGGAACAGGGAGAATTGTCTATGTTGGTTGAGAGGATAAAACGAAGGACAGATGGTGGTTTGGATACTACCGTCTACAGAAAACCGACACATTCCAATAGGTATCTAGACTTCAAGTCATCCCATCCAATGTCAGTTAAGGTAGGCTTAGTTAATTGTCTAAGTGATAGAGATAGAAAACTGCAAGGATCTAATCAAGGAATTGAAACACATAAACGAAGCACTAATAGTTAGTAATTATCCTCCAGTTTATTAAGAAATTCTTACAAACACAAGAAACGAAAAAATAACAGTCACACGAGTGCGACTAACGACAACACGAGTAGAAAGGAGTTCACAGCCTCCATTGTGTTGCCGTATAAGGAAGGTACATCAGAAACTTTACGTAGGATCCTCAACGAAGTTGAAAGTAGGGTGGCATTGAAATCTACAAACCCACTCAGAGATAAGCTTTGTCAGCTGGCTTAAGGATCCGATAGAATCAATTAAGCAAAATAATCTAATCTATCAAATTCCATATAATGACTGTGAGTCAGGTCAAACTAACCGGTCAGGGTCAGTTAGAATACCCGAACATAGGAATTTAGCTAAACATAGAATGACAGACCCGAATAAAATCAATAATCTAGAAAGTAACTCGCTTATTGCAATGGATGCATTAACACACAACCAAACAATAGAGTGGGTGGGATACAAACTCTGTACTTAAGTATAATTTAATTAGGTGGAGAGAGACAGAGATCGATTACTGAATCTTTGTTCATCGGATCAACCAACACTCAACACATGTAGAAATGACACCACACCTATACCAAAGATATGGAAAATCATACTACCAATAAAAACGAATTATATGAGGTGACATAACTATAAAAATCAAATATCCAAAGTAGTATAACCACACCGATATGATTATGAGGAACGATTTATGCTTGAAACGTCATCAAGTAAACAATACTAGATCATTGTGTTATAAATCAAATAAACAAATCTAATGTGGAATTCAATTCTATCACAGTGCCCATCTATATTCACACATTTTAGTTTACCGCTAACAGAAATAAGAAATTTTAACGTTCTTGTAGGCGTATCACATTCATCAATATCAGTCAAAATACAGTGTATTTACTGCTTAGGTTACATATTATACATCTCAATACAATGTAATATGTAATATGTAATAAATCCTGCTGACGTGGGGTACTATCTTCCTTGAATAGAATAATATTTGTTTTTGGTGACATGTGAATAGGTACAAAAAGATGAGGATACTTGTCTCGGTTTAGCACACACCTAGCAAATAACATTTGTACTGGAATAAGAAGCCTATTAGAATCATTAAAAACCTTTATATAAAACACACAAACTAAGGTAAGTAGAATTCAGCTGTATTCTTATTTTCCTTTAATGTAAACAACAAGAGAACCTGTTATCTACCAACTACTCTTTTAACTTATTTCCATTAGAGTTTATGACCTGTTCTGCTCATTATCACTGTATTTTACCTTTTTTTTCTAGTGGATCTTTTCCTGCAACTATCATGTTACATTTTTAATATGTAATCTTACTGCCCATGCTGTAGAAGATGGTGATGTTTTGGCAGTAAATGCTAATAAACTGTTTCGAATGAATGCTAGAAAGTATTCTGTTGAATGCATTTCCTGTCTTTGTTCATGTTTATGAAAGAAGCCCAGTTCGTGAAACTTGTAAACTCGATGACAACATGATTTGTCTTAATGAATTTTTACCTACTACTTATCGGCTCTACAAATACCCACATTAATTTATTTGTACAACACAGTAGCAAGGTAATTTTTAACAGATGATATATGGGATACGATTTATAGTCTCTAATCATGCTGAAAGTAGTCTCTTTCACCTATCTACCTATGCAGCATCGTTTCAACTACAGATGGTGGCACAGGCACAGATGAGGGTGTCAAAGCCAGGATTGGAAAAGCAAGAAAGGGCAGATCTTCATTAACCTGAAACCAGTGTGGGGATCTACTGCACGGCAGTCAGCATACAGAACAAGATCTGGATTTTCAACACCAGCGTCAAGTCAGCACTTCTATATGGTTGAGAGACTTGGCACGTTATGAAAAGCATTTCCAACAAACTACTGACATTCATCAACAGTTGCCGCCTACACTCACTCGATACTGAAGATCAGATCAGATGGCCAGAAAGAATAAGCAAAGAGAAACTCTGGCCTGACAACGAACCAACGAAGCAAGAACCCATCACCCAACAAATATGCGGAAGAAGAAATCTGAGATGGATTGGATTGGATTGGGCATACACTGAGAAGGCCAGTTGGGGACATCACGTGACAGACCAGGCCATCGAGTGGGACACGAATGGGAAACGACGAGTTGGGCGTCCGAGTCAAGGGTGACATGAAGGAGGTGGTGTGAGGCAGAAATGAAAGCATGTGGGCAGTGGTGGAGCGAGGTATAGCCAGGCTGGATAGAAAAGAGTGAAATGGCTACGTGCTACTGAATCCCTATGTTCTACTAGGAACGCAAGGGACTAATAATAGTAGAATCATGCTGAATTAATCAAATAATTGTAAGCTTTCTTCTTATAATTCTACAACAGAACAAGTAGCTTTAGGACCATAAAAAGTAGAGTTTGAAATCTTCGCCACTAACCTGATTATGGATACTGTGTATTGTTACTGAGTTAAACCAGATAAAGGAACTAACAAGGAAAAATGTCTTGCAAGTTTATTAATTCAGTCTGTATACCTGTTCACTATTATGTCCCACTTTTAAATACTCATAAAAATTTCCGAACTGAAATCTATTTCAGTAGTATTCAAACCAAATTCTTTGAAGAAAAATTAGTAGTAGTATCTCTAACTCATTAGAGCCACTAAACCTTAGTAGTTTGAGAAATTTGAATGTAATGAACTCTTCGTTCAGGCTTTTGTTATTCTGCTTACAGTTTGTCAAAGAAAATCGAAAATAATGTGATGCGAAAACTGAAAATTTTTCCAATAATCTACCTTTGTAACATTCAATACAAGGTTAGCGAATTAGTGGTTTCATTGGATTGTTTTTTTTTTGCAGGCCGAATGGGTTGATTTTCTAATGAAATTTCAGCTGAGATTTACATCATTTGTAGCGCCATGCTATGAGATATCCGGAAACTTATCAGAAAATGAGTACACTGCACTGCAGTTCGTCCTGTTCTGTTTGCAGCTGTGAGATATGATCGCTGAAAGTAAGAGATATGAAGCGATTACAGGATTTTAATTACATGTGTCTTAGTGGCATTGTTCGGGTCTGGTGGAATCACCGTGTGAACAATTTTGAGGTCACTGTCTACCTTGAGGTGCCATGTAAAAAGAAGCTGGATTATGTTAGAAGACGGCCCAGGGCGGACCAGACCAAAATATGGCACGAGTCGATAAAGTCCCTGAATATTGGTTTGAGCCTTATGGGCAGATGTAGACTAGCTGGTTAGAGTTCGCGAGAAGATAGGAATTAGTGGCTGTACTACATGTAAAAGGTCCCACAACAAGACAATTCAATTACACTCGATAAAACACAAAAGGTAGTAGTCTGAAAAGTGTGAAAGTAAAAACACACACACAATAAGCAACTATCCTTAACAATCTTTGCTTTCACCGAAAGATATACTGCTTTCCTTTAGCTGATATCTGTCCCCCTTAAATCTTTCTACACAAGAAAATTACAAACACGACCTTATAACCCATAAACACACAATGTTCAATCAACAATAGATCACAACAATTAAGATGGACTGGTCGAAGAATGTGGTGAAGATCTCCTTTTATGCATTATATAAACTGTCAAAATGAAATACAAGTTGTTCAATAAAGTAGTTAAAACTGGAAATATTTACAAAAATAACTCAGGATCATGTTTTTACAACCATCATGATAAACACCTTTTAGTATTTTATAGGGGTTGATTTCTTCAGTACTAAACTTGTCGTAACCTTCAATTTATCTTGATATATACCTCTGTATTAAGTTAATTAACACCATGTGTTACTCGTTATTACGTCAAATAGAAATGCTTTAAATTAGCATAAGTTTATTGGTTTCATTGGACTAAAAGAAGTAAGATTATTATACATTTACCTCGTCATCAAGATTTGTGTTTTCCAAATTCAAATACTGAAATTGAACATGCTTAAAAACATTTTCAAGCATATCAATATGTCCTTCATTAAGTTGACAACCTGAAAAAGAAATTAGTAAAACAATAATCTACCTTTAAGGTTAAAACATGGTCGTCGTGCCAAAGATTGATTAAGATCTATGGACTACAAATGTTACTTTTGTTTCACACTTACTTGAAGTTGTAGAATAACACTATACAATGGCTGAATCTTAGCTATGCTACAACGGAGTTTATAAATGCCAATTAATTCACAAGGTGATAAACGTTGTCCTATAGCTGAAAATTACACAACAATTAACAACTGACTTTTCATCCATGGATCTACTGGTTCTGCTATTAATGTCACAGGATCATTTTCACCAGCGAATTTTACAGACTTTTTACGAACTCGTTCATTAGTTGGTGGATTTTTTCTGTTTTTACCATCATCACCTTTTTTGTTGTCGGGTGAAAAAATGGATAAACTACCTGTATATATAGAATAAATAAATATGGTGAATATGGAGAATATGGTACACATAATGATCTAAACTGCGAAAATGACACTACTGATAAAGGCTGAGCATACTATTGGTTGGATTCTAGTTCATTTGAAATTAGACATGTTAACATTATTGTTATAAATCGAAATTGCTTTTCATGTCTACTAACTAAATAAACTTCAAGCTGTGTTATTTTATGCTTTTGGTTCCATTTATATACAAATAGGTTTGTCCTTGTCGGGTGTTTTAATCAGTCAATCAATCAATGAATATCAACATAGGACCAGGCATTACTGTAAAACCCTCCGACTTGACGCACCACATCATGTCAGTATATCAAGTAAAAAGGTAGTGAGGTGCAAGATGAAGATAAGAGAATGCGGTCAAAAGAAGTATAAAGTACTCAGAGAGAGAGAGAGAGAGAGAGAGAGAGAGAGAGGAAGATTGAGAAAGTGGTGAGATTCGGTATAGCGTCGTTAAGATGAGGATAATGTGTGTATACATCTGTGCCACTGACATCGGTTCTCACCCATATCGACTACAGTCAGTCTCCAACCACTCGTTCCTCTTGTCCCGTCGACCCCAACGTTGTCTAGTCTGCATCACCCCACATGGCTCAAACCAACAGTCAAAGACTTCATACATTGATGCCATGTTTTAGTCTGGCCACCTCGGCCTTTTTCTAGTCTGGACCTACTTTGGCCAACATTATGTGAGGAGGCGATCGGCGACTAGGTATACGTAGTACGTGTGGCAACCATCTCGATCGATGAAGGTTCATAACCTCGTCTTTAATGCTGTCCTTCGAAAATTGTCTGAGTCACATTTGAGTCATTGGGAATTTAAGAAAACAAATCGGTTTTTCATGCATAAGTATCAGTCAAATAAGATATGCGATAACACAAAACTTCTGGTATTTACACGAAGATAGTCACTTAAATAAAGTAAAACAAACATTTAGTCTCCACAAAAATCCATGCCCTGTCTGTGAATTAACTGACGGATTTATATAAAGTGAGTAACCAGTAGTCATATTTTCCTAATGAAGGTAAAAAAGTATTTGGAATTTACAGGGTCAGCATTCAGTGTTTGTTCCCATACAAACAGCACATATAACACATTATACTCAGTATGACCAGTCACTTGAAATATTTGTATCGAAACACAATCACACAGTTTTTCTTAAGTCATAAAAAGTAACAGATAACCAGCCCGTTATCACCTGTCTGTTGCCGATTAACTATAGTGATGTCTAGTATGAAACAGTAGATGCCGTTATGCTTATAGGACAGTTCTTCAGATCTTAGTCAAGCGGATCATAGAGATATGGGAAAATACAAATATACTTTCATCAACTAAAATAAACAAACATCTAGAGAGTTTCACAAGAATATTTAAGCACAGAAGGCAGAAATAGTAAAATGCTGCATAAATCTGAACTGGTCACACAAATCTGAGCTGCAAAGCATCAAATCAACAATCCTTAAGACTGAAATGTTTTCTGTACGGATCAAAAGGTTTTTGTACTTAGTGCAACAAAGCACATCTTACTGAATAAAAGGTGAAAATTGAAGAGTGAGCATAATTGCTGAGTTGCCGTGAAGTATAGTCAGTAGCTCTCTATTTTATCCAACATACGACTCCAATTTTGTGACATCAAAGTATGGCTACATTAGACAGAAGGCATTATAATTCAAACACTTTCTCGTCAACTTAGTTAAAGAGGCTCAAAAGTGGGTTTTAGGTGGAGATATTGTTGGGGGGTTTCACATGTTAATCTGTTACAATCCATATACACCGTTGGCTGTTTTCACAGTCTTTACTTATAGTCTCTTAATGAGTTGCTTGATGATTTGCTATCACGATGTCAGAAGAGTTTTGATGATGAAAGAAATTTTTCGTAGTGTCAATTAGGTGATACACTTTTCCAAAGCTGACAAAATACATAAACATTCAGAAACTTTTCCAGCTTAACTATTTCAGCCATTTGGAGCAATATGAAAGCAAATATATGAAGCTATGGCAAAATACTGATAAAAATTTAAGAGAGCTTTTAATGGGAACAAAGCTCCAGAATATATTTCTTAGGCCATAGTCCTGTCGCCGATATTGATATTGTAACCATTATTCATGTTCAGAAAACATGAATGACAAAAATAGTTTGTATTGAATTATATTGTTGATGGCGATAAATTTATGCTTCGTATAGGAAAGCATGAGGATATCATTACGACTAACTTTTGTTTCTTACAAACTTGAATATCTATAAGCCTCTAGATCTCATGAATCCGAAAACACCCTAGGATACATCTAAATTTTAGCGAAGTGCATTTCAGTAGCAAGAAAGGGCTACCGTATAATAATACTTCTTTTCATCTCCTGTCTCATCCACCACAAATCCTCTAGACTGTGTGCTTTAATAAAGTGTAATGTAATATTTCAGAGTTTAAATGCTTCTAATAAATTCGGAATATTCATATAAATTAATAGCAGACACTGGTGGCATGAAAAGGATATTTCTGTACAAACGTGGTCTAGAAGAACAGACAAAATTATCAATACATTACGGAATACCAGCATATTCGTTTTCAGTTAAAAGAGATAGTACCTGCAAGATGTCCAATCACTTAAGGAAAGTAGTGTCAATGATCGTCTCCAAAGCAATTAAAACCCACCACTTTCAGTGCATGCTGTAAATGTCCTGTTTTTTTAAATCAACAAAATTTCTTGGTTTACTTTAGCTTACTTGTTGCTTTTATCATAAAAGCATGAAAATTTATCACACAGTACTTCTTTTCTTTTTAAAGCATGTGGAGCGGTTATAGTACAATTGCTTAGAACATATAGACATTAATATAAATTTACTTTTAGCTCAAAAGGTTAAATGATGTATAGCAGGTTTTTCAAGTTAATGAAATGAAAAATAATTATGACTGGAAAAACTCGTCATTCTAAAGCGCTAATTAAACTTTTTAACCTTTAGAAGGTCAGTGAGAGGACTGGAGAAAATGCCTTCGATGGGTGTTAACTCCTCATAATCACTTTATGTACTCACTGAGTAGACAAAGATTTAAAAACTGCACTGACATCATGAACGACCTCAATTTTTGCTAAATTCTTTCGATTCACCACATTAACCAGTTGAGATAAATTATATTACTACAGTAAAGGCCAACCTATGCTTTTCAGAGAAAGACATAACATACATGTGCCAATGGGTAATAATATTTGTCATCCACTTTGATATAAGGTTTAAACTGTATAATCTTGTGTATGAAGATGACCATAAATGGTGCTGCATTAGCTTCAATTATTATCACTGGTTTCAAGGTAACGAATGAATAGAAATAAGATGAGTGAAATGTTTGCAGCAAGAAAAAACATTGAAGACAGGAAACTGACAAATACGAGGGGGATTTAACGTCATTGCATGAAGTTGTTGTTCTTTTAGAAATGTTTTATCAGCCAGTACTCACCATCAAAATCAACATAGGACCAGGCATTACTGTGTAACCCTCCGACTCGACGCCACACATCATATCAGTACATCAAGTAAAAAGGTAGTGAGGTGCAAGATGAAGATAAGAGAATGCGGTCAAAAGAAGTATAAAGTACTCAAAGAGGGAGAGAGAGAGAGAGAGAGAGAGAGAGAGAGAAAGAAAGAAAGATTGAGAAAGTGGTGAGATTCGGTATAGCGTCGTTTTCTAAATAATTTTAAAGTACACCATGGATTCCAAAACAATATTCTAAAAATCAAGAAAGGATTCCAGCGGCTGGTGTGATCATAGGCAGCGACGTTTCCCTAAATATCATCATCATCATCTATCAACATAGGACCAGGCATTACTGTGTAACCCTCCGACTTGACGCCAAAGATCACATCGGCAGAGAAGTGGAAAATGAAGAAAAGGAAGTCCAGTCAAAAGAAATATAAACTACTAAAGGAGAGAAAGGCAGATTGAGAAAGTGGTGAGATTCTGTATAGCGTCGTTAAGATGAGGATAATGTGTGTATACATCTGTGCCACTGACATCGGTTCTCACCCATATCGACTACAGTCAGTCTCCAACCACTCGTTCCTCTTGTCCCGTCGACCCCAACTGGTTGTCTAGTCTGCATCACCCCACATGGCCTAAACCAACAGTCAAAGACTTCATACATTGATGCCATGTTTTAGTCTGGCCAACTCGGGCCTTTTTCTAGTCTGGACCTACTTTGGCCAACATTATGTGAGGAGGCGATCGGCGACTAGGTATACGTAGTACGTGTCCCAACCATCTCAATCGATGAGGGTTCACAATCGTATCAAGTGACTTAAGTCTCCTGCCTAAAACTCTACACCTGACTCCTGCGTTATTCATGTAGTGACACCTGGAATATGGCCTATAAGTACTCATCAGCTCCTTATGGTATTAAATTTGATATCCTAATACTGCACTTGAAGAAGGAAGTAAGTCATCCTTGCATAACATAAGATCCAGTAAGATGTCAACTTAGGCCAGTAATTCAAAGTTATTTCAGAAGCGTTAGTATTTACGGCACACTCTGAAGTTAGAAGGCCTAACAGTAGTCGATGGAAGCGTTGAAGCAAAATGCTCAGTGATTTTAACAGCATTACTTATTCTTTTTCCTAGAACCAAGCTCGTCCAAAATTCTGAGGCGATTATGAAAAAAATTAGTCTAACGATATCCATTCCCACTATGCAGCTGTTTTTAAGATTAAACCAGTTTCCTTCATTTTAATTACTACTCAAGGGATCATTGTGATATATATCAGGATTCCACAAGAGAGACGTTTAAGGTAGCATAACCTTCTGAGTACCTTCTGGGTACCGCTATCCAAACACATCCAATTTGCTCTTGCCTAGCATTTGGTTGAAAATGTACCAACCTCTGGTTGTATTTCAGCTATCATCTATTGGAGTCAGGAACATATAGTAAGTTAAGTAACCTTTCAAGCAAAATCTGAGGAGATCGGAGCTATATCCTAACAGTGACACGAAAAAAAGATGCTGATTATATTCAGCCATGTAATGTGTCTTACTGCTGAATAAAAGAGGGAATATGCTAAATCCAGATATCAACACCATATATAGCTCAGATTACAGTGCAAGGAAGAACCTTCATACTGGAAGACAAGTGTATTTATACAACAAAGATCGAATGCTGATCTGCGTTATCAAGTGAAAATTTTGACGTCAATGTTCTTTAATATCGCAGTGGGACGTGTTAGTTGTATAGCTAGCTGTATTAAGAACGTCAAGGGAAGCAATTGTAAACAATGCCTTTCGTTTCACAGTAGCGCTGTTAACTATCATAAACAGTAGTCCAATGAAATTGTAAACAGTTGCTTTAGATCAATTAGCACGGCGAATATTATGGCTTGGATATGAAAAGTAGCTACATACTGCCAACTCATGGTTTCTCTCTCAGTACCATAGATTCACTACGAGTCGCAAACTTGAAACCAGTACTCGGACTGTTGTAAAAAAATAACCTCTAATACCTTCTTTTCTCTCTTTCACCTCTGGTATGAGCAGTTTCTGTACAACACAATTCAAATCCATGAACGATTTGACATATAACGTATAGTACACAGTAGTTCAGAATTATGTTAATTGTCAAAATCAACAGTAATCTTCGTGAGTTATACAAACCCCATAAATTAATGTATGAATTATAGATATACAAAAAACTGCATTGTTATGCTACCTTTTCTTCCAAAAGTCTGGTCTTCTTTACTGTAACTGACTCTGCTGAACCTAACACTTTCATAAAACACCTACATGGAAACCTCTACCTAAGTTCTAGTTGACCAGAACACCGTTTGCTAATGGCCTGACGTTTTCACAGATGATTACTTTCAGCCATTTGAATAGTATTGTTGTTAAGTTTTAAAAGCACATCGACAACCTCCCTGTCAAGCCCCCTAATTTCTTCTTAACTGACAGATACAATGTAGACTTAAATAAAACACTGTCATAACTTTTCTTCTAAACTTAAAGTACTGGTGCTCGTGGTGGTTAAATATCCAATTCTCAGCTTCTTTCCTATGTGATATGTGAAAAATAAAGACAACATTATGTTGTTTATGTTAAACTTTTTATAACTAGCTAGAAAATTTTCACTAAGGGATATCGGATACGACGCAATGTGAGATAGTAAGTTGGTTCACTATGGAATCACTAATTTTGGTTTTTGGGAATATTGATTAGTTGAGCTCACTTAGCCGAAATTCTGTCTCGTCAGCTCATTGACCCCACCGTTTTTGGCTTTACAATGAAATAGCATTCTGTAGTCAACCAGAAAGGTTTATAATGAAGACAAAAGGCGATACTAGTGACGACAAAAACTGCAATCACATTAGGCATACTTCTCAGCAAGGAAAACCATTGCAAAGCTCTCATTCTCTATGTAGCTAGTTTGTTATTTATGCAGTGAGTGTCACTAGTTATAAAATATATTATTAATGAATGAGATCACAAAGGTGGAGTCCTTTAGTGGGTTAAAGATTTTGTCAATCAGAAGGATTAAAGTTAACTCACAGACTTCTATCGTCATTAAACCCGTATCTCAGTTTGAATCCCATGCCTATAAGAATCCCACAATATGGCCGGAAGCTTTAATGCAGGGGCATCACAAATGTCATAAATTTGATGTTCGGCAAAACTTTCATGGAACAGTTGCACAGTATTTGTCGCAAATATCAAATTCATCACCAAGCACATAGTGAACCCTAGACACTATGGTGTGAACGCCATCCTAAGCCAAGCAAAATAGAAAGAAAAAAATTAGTTGGAAAGGAAGTAAAAAGAGGTAAAGGGGGGAGCTGGGTGTTGAAACAAACCAGAAACGATAAGCAATTGATAGATGTTTCTGATTTTTCTCCTTTTTAATACTACCTTTGATTCTCGAATTCGGCAGTCCAGTTACCTTCTTGTCAGTCATCTTACTTAGGGCTTTATACATGTGCACACAGTGTTTATAGGGATGTACATTGGCAGTACTGTATTGTACTGACAGTATTTCATCATTGAATATTTCAGTGATCATATACCACTAAATATTAGCAAAAAGACTCTTGTAATAAAAAAAGGCGGCGGCATTAAATAATAAACCACTTACTAAAGTATACTTCAACAGAATGAGAATAATTTAATTGCTTTCAGGAACTGACGGTTGGGTTCTCTATTTAGATGCACTAAATTCAGAAAATATCATGAGTCAAAGAATTCAATTTTTCATTCATAAAATTTCTTGAAGTTTTGGATGTAAGACAACTTACGAATTTTTGTATTGTCAACATCATCTCCAACCATAACGATTATGTAGTAAATGTTTGTATTACCTCCAATGTAAGGGACCGTCCAAAATCCAATATTGATGGTGAGAGCGTAGAAAACTGATATATTTTTTGATCTCTCACGTCTAGTTCTTAGGGCTTATTTCTAGCTGTTCAGTTCACTCCTGCAGTGGACAAGGAAATCTCCTCTGCTTTCAGCTTCGGTGAGGTGGATGTTTTATGGGTTAGTAAGTAGCAATTTGTAGAGTGGTTGGGGAGCTACGGGTTGCTGGGATGGTTAAGGGTCTGCCGTGACTCCTGATTTTGCAGGTACCTGCATAGAAGTAGCAAGATGGGGGAGGGGAGTATGTGGGAATCACCCGAAAGGTAAAAGTAGATAGCATAGGTCTAGTTCCTAGAGAAGAGTTGGCAGACAATGTAAGTGTATTAAGACGAGAGATAGTGAGTAGTACGTAGAAATGAAGCAAAGCTGAGCTAGTGTGGTTATTGGCCCCCTGAGGACGTCCATGGTAGACCATGCGAGGTGACATTACTGTTTAACCGTCTCTTGAATGAGCTGACTGGGGGCTTTAACGATATGTCGCGGTAGGGCATTCTGCAAAGCACATACTCTAAGGGAAGAAAAGCCGAAATTGAGCGTGGCGTTGGTTCTCTGATGTGCCATCCTCTTAATGACCAGTGTGTTGCAGGCAAGGCTAATTTGTTTGCGTGGTTCGACCGATAAACGATCTTGTAGGCTATAATAAGGTCAACCCTCTTCGTGCGATAACCCAAGGTGAACAGGTCTAGGTATTTTAGTCTTTCAGGATATCCCTCCTTCTCTAGCCCCACAACTGATTTTGTTACAGATCTTTGTATTTTTTCAAGGGGGTTAGGGCCTCTCTTGAATATTGAGGCTGCCACTGTATTGAAGACCTCTAGGTGCGGACGGGCGTATCATTTGAAAACTGTGAGAAGTGTTCTAGGGCGAGGAAGCCAAGCTGTCTACGCAGAAAGTGGGGAATGACGCCCGCTCCGGTTGTTATACCTTTGTAGTTGGAGCTGGTGTTTAAGGTGTCGGAGAGGCTGAGCCCCAAATCTCTGTCCGTGGGCGCTCTGGTGACAGCACGGTTGCTCAACACGTACTGGAAGTCAGCCGTACTTGCCTCATATATACTAATGTGCATTACTTTGCACTTTTCCAGGTTAAGGATGAAGGCGTTTTCCGACGGCCAGAGTTCAAGTTGCTGCCAGTTACTCTGTATCGCTGCACAGTCAGGCTCTTCGAATACCGTACGATTTTGATGTAGCTTAATCGTGAAAAAAGAACGGTAAGTGGAGACAACCGAAACCCATAAACAATCTGTATGTACTATGAAATAATATTTTTCTGTTCTTTTTATAACCTTCGGTCACTTTTCATATAATAATAGACCGTGATGCAATACCTTCTGTATCATTCAGGACAGATCAACAACTGGGGGTTTCTTTATTATTATCAGTTTGATGATGCCTGTAACCTGGCTTCCCTCATGTTAAACTCTTAATTTGAGAGCAAAATGTTTATTCATTATTTACTGGTGCCCCCAAATTTTAATGTCGTGGGAGAAGAGGACGGAGGGTGGTGAGATTTTGCATAGCAGACCACTGACCAACAGGGGGAACAGAAGTTGTTCTGGGATTGCTCCTTGGGGTACTCTAGGCGTCGACGGTCTCCACTTCAACAGTATCCTGTTTACCCCGATGCGGAACTGTCTACCTTCTAGGTAAATTTTGAACCAAGAGAGTGGGGGTTCACTCCTACGGCTGGCGTGACCTTGTGAAGCGGGACTGTGGGTGGAACACTGCAAAATGCTTTGGCCAGGTTGAGAAATCTATGAAAGCCATTCTGAGCAGTGTGGACGATGTTTTCCCTGCTGAGGAATTCCCGGGTCGCATCATCTACCAGGCTTTCTAACACTTTAGACAGCATAAGGAGTACATCAGTCGTCCTGTAGCCGCCGGGGCGTTTTCTGTCCTATCTGTTGAAGATGAGTGACAAAGTGGTGCATTTCCATTCTTTTAGGGAGTTTGCATGACTCTACTTAGTGCTTGAAGAGGTTGCAGACTTGTTTTTCAAGCACCTTGCTGCAGTCCTTAAGGGTCACCAGTCTCAGGTTATCGCAACCGGGGGACTTTGCCGGACGTAGCCTAGACAGTTTCTCCGATAGTTTCTTCCCTGTGACTGGGTTGTGGCAGAAATATTGGTTATCTGTGGTCTGTTCAATGTCATACAGAGCCAGCGTAGATTTCCTGTCGGAAGTACTACGTCGCGCTCCAAAGTGTGAGCTGGGAAGCTCAGCCATCTCCACACTGTCTGGTACATCTCGCTTGGGACCTGTGGTGAAACTCGCTCCAATGCTGATCGACTTCCTTTTCGACATGAGGCGGTACAGGTTTTTGAGGTTACCTTGTGGCCTCCTCGCCAGGTTTGACTGATAGCTAAACCTGCTACTACGCCCATTTATGTTGCATCGGTTGCGAACTCTTGTTGCTCAAGAAGCCGGACTGCCCGTGTGACGAAAGCCACTTAAACTAAACCCGCTTCTTGGCTTGAACTGGCCCTTTTGTCCTACGCTTCAGCCATAAGGCTCTCACTGACGGTCTGAGGGTTGCCTCTGGCGCACGGTGGCTGACGGTCCCAACGATTATTTCCTACACCTATATCCAGTCTTCATCTACTGTGAGGTGGGCCCAGTCTACAGGCCACGATGCATTCATGAGGTAACCTCTCATGGCCCCGTAGTTGCCGTGGCCGTAGCAAGGAGGGGTTGGGCACCCTCGGTTGTAGAGCCTCCTCAGTAATCATGGGGAAAGTTATTACTGCTTGTTCGCTGAGGTCAGGAGGGAGTTGGATGCACACGTCCTCAACGAGATGGTCATCGTTCGCCACGACGTAGCTTAGGCGCGGGGGATTGCTGTAAGGTCCCCAGCGTGCGGCATCACTTACTTTCTCTAGGAGACCATGAGTCGTAACTGCGTTCTTTGGTTTCCGACTAAAGGATCTGATGCGCCTCCCTTCCATCTCAAAGAAGGTGAACGGAGTATTGAAGTCACTGGCAATGATCACGAGGTCGTCTTCTGCAGAAAAAGTCTCCGAGGTTGCCTCGATGACCATTTCTTTATGTGTAGTGGATCTAGAGGGGGACCGATATATGAGTACGAGTGTGTTTGATACGATGTAGAGTGAAGCGGCACGAAAAGTTCTCAAGGGCTGGGTTTGAGCCGTGTTGCTGACCAATCTCACTTTCAAATGAGAGCTTATGTAGAGAGCCGCTCCCCCTCCTGCTCCTAGCTTCCTGTCCCTGTGGAACAATTCCATGCCAGTGACATGCATCTCCTCGTCAGAGAAGTCTGGCGGCAGCCAGTATTCGGTGATAAATAGGATATCAGGGTGCGGGTATTTGCGGAGTGTCCTCACCTCCGTTTCTTTCTCGCTTATTCCCCTAATGTCGCTGTATATGCACGTTGGGGTGCGTCTGGTGAGAGGAAAGGGCTGGTCGTGTAGTTCCGTGAGCGGGTCACTTTCCTGGTCAGGCCTAGCATCACCATTCCTCATGGGACTGGCATCCTTCCTTTCTTTGGTGCTTTACCTTCAATTTGCGTGGAGACTGTGGCAGCAGGAGCTTCATTGGTCAATGTGCCTGAATCATTGGCCAGTGTCCATGTGACAACCACTAACTTCAGAGGCCTTGGTGGTTGCCGCCTCTCCTTTTGCCTCGTGAATCTAGGCTTACTTTTGCACAGGCGCATTGGGCCACCCATAAGGTTTTTCACATTATACTATGCGTGTAGAACGTCTGTGAAGAAGGCATGTTAGTCGAATTGGATAGCGAGTAGCCTGGGAGTGGGGATGGACGTCATATGTATTGGTCTCGGTGGTCTGCTTACGCTGTTGACGGGTATATTGTTGAGACCGACATTGCTCGAAAACAAATGCGACTGTTGAACGTCGTGGGAGTACCGATCTTTAGCGGGACGGTCACACGGCCGCTCTGGGTTTCCATGAGAACCACGGTGTTGCTGATTTCCTCTACTTCTCTCTTAGTGACCATGGTTTCTCAGACGGGGCCCGAATCTTGCGTATATTGGCAGTGTCCAGTTGGTGAGAGAGAATGAGTGCGTCTTCGGCCTCTTTAATAGCGCTCAAGGATAAACGCGGGGGTAGCTTACCTCAGGGTGCCGGGTTCTGCAAGAAAGGTGACATGGTGTCGTAGAGGGAGGAGGGAATCCCAATTCCTGACAGTGGTCGGCTCACACCCAGCTATCAACTCGCCCCTTCGTGGCCAACAATGAGTCTGTCAATAGGTCGACGTTGAACAAGGTGATCGACCTAGCTCTCCTGTGGATTGGGCTCATCGCGGGTGACACTCCCGACCTCCCAGTGGGCTTCTCATTCACAGTGTCAAAGATGTTTAGGCTCGGTTTCACCGAATCTGGTGAGTGGTGTCTTTTTGCGTGCTCTTGACGTTCTCTGAAGCCAGTTGGGGGATACGGAAGTTCGACTTACTGTTGTCCTTATGCGTGGTGGCGTGTGCACAGCTTCGTTTCCAGGTTCTTCCGTGTTATCCCTTTGTTGTGGCACTACCTCGTTCAGGGATGTTGATGGCTTTCCTGTGGTGGACAGTACCTCCCTTAGGCCCTACGTACGGGATGCGGGGAGCTTTCTGCACTCTCAACGAGTGTACCAGAACCATTTGCATGGCTGCCCCTTCATCACCTTTTGGTGCTGTCGGCGCACTTTGCTGTCACAGTGTTAACGTGCCGTCGGTGACATAAGTTGCATGTGAATGCCTTGGCAACTACCAATACAGCCTCGGTGAAAACACCACAGCCATCGGATTTCATGGTGCTGCCTTCTCACCACGGAGATAGTGCTATGAATTGCGAACTACTTGTCGATGCCCCTTTCCTGAGTCTGACATGGCATTTCCTCTTTTCAGGCACAGTGTGAATTTCACCCGTGCGGGACTAGTTTGTGACATGTTGTGGCTACTT